CGGGGCTTCATTGCGGATGACGCATTGGCCTTCAGCGCCGGCTTCCGCACGGGCTCATCCGTCGTCGTCGAGCTCTCCAGGACAGCGGCCTTATTTGCAGCGGGCTTCACTGCGGATGACGCATTGGCCTTCGGCGCCGGCTTCCGCACGGGCTCATCGTCGTCGTCGTCGGAGCTCTCCAGGACAGCGGCCTTATTTGCAGCGGGCTTCACTGCGGATGACGCATTGGCCTTCGGCGCCGGCTTCCGCACGGGCTCATCGTCGTCGTCGTCGGAGCTGTATGGGACAGCGGCCTTGCGCGCAGTTCTGCTCTTGTTTTGGACAAGTTCCTCGTCTTCTGACAAGAGTTCGTCGCGCGGGCGCTTCACACCAGCGTGTTGAGACGCAAGGAGTGCCTCCACCGTTATACCGTTTGGGCGGCGGCGGCGATTAGAGATGGACGCCTCGCGCTGAAATGCGCGGGCGACGTCGGGGTGGTGCTCTTCGAGGTACTTAAGCACCGCGGCGTTAACGGTGCTGGTCATGGCTGGGGACTTGCGCCTGGGCGAATGCTGCGGAGGAGGGGAGGAGGGAGAGAGGCAGGACGAGGTGCGCGGGCGGCGTGGGCAGCGGCAGGGGCGGGCGCGTGGCCGCGTCGTCGCACACGCCCGCGGGAAATACACTCGCCAGCAAACCAAAGCAGCCACAATGGGGCGGGCGCGGAAACGCACCCCGTTCCCCCGCCACTGGCGAAAAAAATAAACAAAGCGATAGGAAAAAAAAAAAGAATAATACCAATTGCGATAGGCTTCGCGTTATTCAAATGGCAGGCGTGGCCTCATGTTCCACCGCGCCTTCCTTCGTAACGGAGCTCGTCGAAGCTGTCGTCGCTGTCGCCGTACTCATCCTCGAGTCGACGCGGTGTTGGGCGCGGCGTGGGGGACAGAGCGGCGGCCTCCCGCGGCGGTGGGTGCAGCGCAAAGCTGCAGAGCTCACAAGGCTCCTCGGCGCGGTGCGCGTGTGGTCGATAGTCCGGCGCCGTCCCGCTCCCGCGGACGCGGTGAAACTCGCCCCGCATGTAGTCTCTGTAGCCGCGAAACGAGGCGACGCCCCCGATGGACGCCGCCGCCCGGGGACTGACGCGGAGGGGGGTGTGCAGCACCGCCGAGGGGACGCCCTCCCGCAGGAAGGCGCGGAAGACGGGCGACGCGGCGGAGCCTCCCCCCGCGAGGGCGGCGAAGTACCGCATCTCCTGCACGTACGCCTCCTCCCCGACAATCCGGCGCCACCGTGCCGCCTCGCGATGCAGCGCCTCGGCCTCCACCACGGCCCAACGCCGCCCCTCGGAGGCCAGCGCGTCGTGCAGCTCCCGCAAACGCTTATCCCTCCACCGCCGCAGCCGTCGAATGCGACGGGCCTGCGCTCTCAGCCGCCTCACCGCCGGGGCAAGGACGTTGTCGTGCAACTCTCGAAAGGCGGCCTCCTCTTCGACGGCCACCGCCCGCAACGCCTCCAGAGCCCCGCCCAGCAGGTCCGAACGCTCCTTGGCGTCCATCGCCCGCTTCATGGCTACGCGTTGCCGCTGCCGCTCCAACGCCGTGACGGACCCCCGCAGAAACGCGTCCCGCAGCGCGTCGTAGCGCAAAAAAGCCTGTGCGCAAGTATCTTCCCTCCGCCTCGCCTCTACCACATTCAAGTTTCGCAGCACGGCCGCCACTAGCGGGATAAGACGGGTACGAAACTCCAGCCACTCCTTCCGCACATCGCACTCGCGTTCGTTGCGCAACGCCGCACGGGCGCTTGCCTCGGCACGCAGCGCCGCTTTTGTTAACTCCAAAAAACGTTCCTGGCGTTTGCGACGCAGTTCCGCATAGTACTGACGCACACATCGTCGTATGCGCACGTTGCCCCGGAAGATACGTTGCAATTTGACGGTGTGGCGAGTCACACACACCAGACGCACATACGCGCGGGCGGCGAAGGCGGCCAGGTACTGTTCCACAACCATCACCGCGGCCTGCGCGCGTTGCGCCCGCCGGGCCTCCAACATTCGGTGTGCGTCTGCCGTAAGAAATACACGAGCGCTTCCCACTTGAGCTGCCTTTTCGCTGATCCCGGCTGTCTGCAGCAACGCCAAGCATTTGCCCCTAAGCGGCATGTTTGCCCGCAGTGACGGGCTTGACGGGTCGAAGAGGTGATAGTGGCGGACAAACTCCCCGCAGCTGAGGCGAAACGGGTAGTTGCACTGGCGCTGCCACACGGTGCTCAGCACTCCGGTCGCCACGAGTTGCTCCAGCACCAGCTTTCCGTCAAACAGGCCCGCCTGTCGCCTCGCGTGGGGGCGGATGCAGCGCACCCAGTTACACTCGCTGCTGTTCAGCATTTCCATCAGGAGACGCAGCGAGTTGCGAAAGGTTGAGGCGACGGTGTGGCGCGCCGCACGTGCGGTGGCGGGCGCGGGGGACCCCGGCCCGTTTGCGTCGCCCAGCAAGCCCACCATGGCGTCGGTCGTCCCCATCACGTCTCGAAGCGCCCAGGAGGTGGTGTTCTGCAGCGTCTGCGCACAGGCATCCTTCACGTAGTCGTTGTTTTTCTCCACGAAGCCGTTGACGCAGTACTTGACGTCCCCCGCGTAGTGCCGCACCGTGAAGCTGCTGTCGTCCAGGCGCCCCCGGTAAAAGTAGTCAGCGGGGGTGCGCAGCGCCTCGTCGCGGTCCAGCACACTCCGCAGCGCCTTCCCGGGCGCTGACTGATAGTCTGGGCAAAACGCCGACGTGATGGCGTTGAGAAACGCAAAGTCTGGGTTTGTGTGCGAGCGCTGCACATCCAGCCGCGAGGCGTCGTCCAAGTGCGAGATGATGGAGTTCTTCGAGCCCTGCAGAAGCACCAGGCAGAGCTGGTTATCTACAAACTCCGTGATGTTGGGTTCCACCCCCTCCGTGCGCATCTCCTCCATGTCGGCGAGAAACATTTTCTCCGTGTACTGCCGCTGCAAGGACTCGTTGGCGAGGTTGATGCAAAACTGCTCCAGCGAGTTCACCGGAAAGTCCTCAAAGCCAAAGATGTCCAGCAGCGCGATCCATGTCGTCGGCGGCGGAGACAGGCCGCAGGACAGTAGATGCTCCGCCGGCGAGCGCGAAACCTCCGCGTGGTCAAAGTCCGCCCCACTCGCGGTGGCCGCGTTGACCTTCTGCACGACGAAGAGGAATAGCTTGGAGTAGAGGAACTTGCAGATGCTGTCGCGCTGGTCGCCGGCCTTCTGCAGCGAAAGCTTTTTCGTCACGCGATCGCCGCCGACGACGACGGTGCTTGTTGTGAGGCACGCCACGAACACCGCCGGATCGGGGAGGCGCAGCAGCTGCCCGGCGACAAACGCCGCGGTCTGCGCGTCGCCGTCGCCCAGCACGGCGGAGTCGTCGGCCCGCCGCATCTCAAACGTGATGTTCTGCAGGTGCAGAACGGCCCCCACAACGCTCCAGAGGGTCTGCTGCTCCTCCTCGGAAAACCCGAGGCTCGTCAGGGCAGCCTGCAACACCTGAAAGGCCCTAGCGTCATCCGTGTCGCCCGTCTTCAAAGGGAGACAGCCGCCTTTGCCCAGCAGGACAAAATCCCGGGCGGACCCGAGCCGGAGGCGTTGCCGCGAGGCCGCGTCGGCTCCGGCGACCAGTTGGTAAAAGACGTGATACACGCGCTCGTCTGCGCCGCACGTGACGGCACGGGAGCGCTCCAGCAGGAACGGCGTGACCCGCAACCCCACCATGACGCCCTTCGCATCAAACTGTACCTCCATAAATTTACCAAACCGGGAGCTGTTGTCGTTCTTCACAGTCTTGGCGTTTCCAAACGACTCCAGCACGACGCTACTCAGCTGCACCCGTTCACTGATGCGCTGCATGCGTTTGCCGACGGCGGCATCGGTGCCCACCCGCTCCGACGCCGCACACAAGTATTTCAGCATTTTTTTGCACGCCTCCGTTTTTCCACTGCCGCTCTCCCCCGAGGCAATAATGGAGTAGTTCACCTGCCGGGCCCGCATCTCGACATATGCCCGATGCGCCACGCCCCAGACGTGCGGGGCGAGGCCCGGCGGCAGCTGTGCCGCGTCGAGGTGGCTAAGGTAGGCCCCCATGCACCTGTCCATCTGGGCCGCGATGCGCTTGTGGGGGTTCACCGACAGCACCATCTCTCCGATGCGCATGTACGTTAGGTCCCTCGCATGCCGCCCCCGCAGCACATGGAGAAGAAGCGCATCGTGCAGCTCAGGCAACTCCAGGAGATCGTCGGGGAAGGAGCTCAAGGCGCCCGCGGTGTTGGGGACAAAGAGCGAGTCCGCGCCCACGGCGACGCTGAACGTCTCGCCGGAGTTGCAACGGACAACCGCCACCGCTGCCCTCTCCTGCGGCTCCCCCATGCCTGCGACCACGACCTGCTCCCAGGCCCGCACGGGATGGAAAAAAAAAACCTGCCGCCCGATCAACGACCGCTGCGTCCCATCGCCGCCGCCCGCCTCCATCTTCAGGGCAGAATAAAAGAAACAACAGCCACAACACGCAGAGAAACGGCAATGGGCGCCTGGAGGAGGCCACACCACCTACGCCTACAAGCCGAGGAAAGAAAATAGCAAAAGGGAGATCGCATTCCTTTTTGTTCCCCCGGGGTCAGCGCGCGCCCAGCACTCCAATATGTACACGGGGAGCATTACGCACCCGCAAAACGGTAAGCGGCGGACGCGTCAATCTTTGATAACTGCGCCTTCTCCAACAGACGCACAAAGTGAAAGTCGCCGCAGGGCCCGCAACCGCGGGACTCCCCCAGCGTGGAGGGGGTTGCTAGTGACTGGAAGGTTACGTGGCTGGGGACGGCACTACAGGGTGAGGGAAAACAACTGCGCTCGTGCCCCCTCCCAGCGCGGCTTCGTCGGAGGTCACTTCATGATGCCCAGTAACGAAACAGTGCAAGAAAAAAAACCAACAAAAAAAAAGGAAAAAAAATAGAAAAAAAAAAAAGTAAAGACCTAGCGTATTCAACCTCCGAACAAAATAGAACAACCACAACAAGAACAACATACAGAGCAGGAAAGGATGGGACTGCACCTTTGCTCGCAAGCCACCTCCACAAAACCCAACGAAGTTATGGCCGTCCCTCAGCAGAGTAACAAAGGAAATACGCACATCTGGCAGCTCCCGGTAATGCACGCACACCCACGTCTTTTTCTCTTGCAACCTCAGCCCCATGCGCCTGCTCTTGACCATAAGATATGCGTTAAGTGAGGCCCATCTATTGTCTTACACCATGTTCTGTCCCCTTGGATAGCCAAACTTCTTCATCTGATGCTCATGTTGAGCCAGCATACACCCAATTGTGGCATAAAAGGCGATGTCCGCTAGCATTTTTACGGAATCATTATGCAATATCATAGCCAACACGCCCAGAATACATGCAAGGCACATCACAGCGGTGTCACAACAATCATTCTCAAGATTATAGTGCTGAAGTACCATGAACCGGTTGCCGTGTACAGCACATCCAAGAAATAAGCTAGCCTCCAAGCACATACAACAGGGCCCAAGGGAATCGCCGGCGCAACAATTAAGATTTCCACAGAGTCCAGCGCAGCAGATGTAACGAGACCAGTCACCGAGCAGTAGTTTCTTGCGTTGCATGATAGTACAACAACATGGGCAAAAACACGCGGCAAGACAGAAACATGGCTCGCTACATGGCGCATGGCACATGCTTGTCGCCCATTCATGCGAGCCCTCCCACTGCTGAACCTCAGCGTAACTAGCCGGCGCTGTGTAATCAAAGTACGATGGCTGGGCAGGTACAGCCGGTGTAGTGGTGGCAGGCGGCACCGGCGTACTACCAACAGGTAGGGCATTGCCAGAAGCTGCTTGTCCGTAACCGGGCTGGTAAGGCTGCCCATACCCTGGCTTCGGCTGCCCGTAATCGGGCTGGTAAGGCTGCCCATATCCTGGCTGTGGCTGTACGTAACCGGGCTGGTAAGGCTGCCCATATCCTGGCTGTGGCTGTCCGCAACCGGGCTGGTAAGGCTGCCCATATCCTGACTGCGGCTGTCCGTAACCGGGCTGGTAAGGCTGCCCATATCCTGACTGCGGCTGTCCGTAACCTGGCAGGTAGGGCTGCCCATATCCTGGCTGAGCGTAATGCTTTCCGTCCGACGCCATTCCTTGCTAATTTCCGTAATACGAAAAGAATTAAAGGACAAAGTACCGAAGCTAAAGCAACAAGAAAAACACACAGCAAATCACGTGAAAGAGACTTGTCTGTGCAACCGCTTTTTACTGTTTTCGTTCTTCCCACGCCGCACTTTAGATCCACCAGAAAAAGCCAAAGCATTGAAAACCAGAACTGAATGGGGAAGGCCAAAACAGTGTGGCGCCTTGGGCACTCGCCTGCCATGCACCCAGCACGCACTCCTCAGGGAGGCACACTTCCTGGCGTACTCCTCGGCAAGAGAGCCGGTGTGCGGCTGTTCATGCGCAGCGCCCCCCACGGTAAGCCGGCGGCGCTGGCGGGGTGCCTACCCGGGACCCTCGTGGCGCGGAAGACGCAGCATGGCGAGAAACGTGAAAAAAAAAACAACAACTCTACGGATACCACGTGGTTCACAGGGCTCTCTTTCAGCCCTTGCGTGTCGCTCAGATTGAACTTCTCCTGCCGACGGGAGCCTGCTTCTTAAAACTCCATCGTCCAGTCACACAGGCAGCCGTCGGCGGTCACAGAGACCACTTGAACTGCGTGCTGCTCCTCGCCTAACGGAGTGGCGTCAAGCACCCCGCCTGGGCTATCAAACGCCCCCAAGAACTCCAGCTGTTCCACGTGGAAGACGCCCACCTGACGGCGGGAGGTGGCAAGCACCACGTTTCCACCTCTTGACGAGCGCAAGGCAACCGGAAAGGACGCATTCGCCTCGTACATGGCCTGCTGCGCCTGGCGGACGTCAAACACCAGGACCGTGTCGTCTTCCGACGAAAGCACAATCCGCTCCCCGCCCTTACACCCGACGCCGGAAATGAGATGCTCCCTCGACTGCCAAATCCATTGCAGCCCTTTCATCCTGGCGTCGCAGCGAAGGACACCGTGAGCCGTGAAAATATGGGCAACATTGTCATCCACGGCCTCCAGAGAAATGGGGGCAGTAACGACTCTCCGAAAGGCGGAATTACCAGCGGCCAGATCCAGCCGTGCGGCCCCAGCCAATTCATTGAACGACAGACGCAAGACACCTGAGTTAGACTCTCTTTTTGACTGCGACAGACACCACAGTCCGTCGCGGTGAAAGGCGCAACTGTGGCAAGAGGTCAAGGTGCCGTGAAGCCTCGGGGCCTCGCCGTCGCCAAAGCTGTAAAAAAAGGCTGTCGAAGTGGGAACAGGCGGGTTGCCAGTTTTCTCAAGCAGAACTGCGCAGCAGAGCGAGCGCGACGCATCGGCTGTCACGCCCAGGCACAAGTGCGAGACTGGCAAACCCACGCGCTGGCCCTCGGTCAGCAGCTGCCAAAAACTAGATGCCCGCTCACTGCCAAGGTCGAGGCTGACCAGCGTCGAGGGCCCAGCGCCGCGCCCGTTGCCGAGAACGGCCATCACAGTCCGCCCCTCCCAGGCGTCATCCCTGGCGAGGCGCACGACCGGAAACGGTGTGTGGTATACTGCACACGACGTAAACACGCAACTATATTGACAGCCAACGACTGTGGTGGCAGCTCCTCCTTTATTCATTTCTCCATTTCACGCCGGTGCATCATGCTTTTTCGCGGTACTCAACGAAAAGAGAAGGGGGACAGGGGTGACAGCTTCGAGGGGCACGACAGCAACGCCGGTGGAAAGAGGTGCAGTGAAAACACGTCCTCAGCGCAGTGCGAGGGACTGCAGAGGACAAGGCGCGTGCACGCAGGCAGAGGCAAAAAAAAAACGAATAAAAAAACAACAACAAAGAAGCAGGAAACAAGACAACGCAAGGGGAGTTAAACGCGGCTTGGGTACAGGTACACCCGGATCCTTCGTCCAATCGCCGACGCAGGAAGCGGGCTGTTGAACTTCGCGCGCACCACACCAGACCCTCCGTGAGGCCTCGTCACACGGCCCCACATCGCGCGCGTGTTGCTGCGGCGCGCCGGGGCCTTTGACCAGCGCACGCAGCGCTTCACCTTGTAGCCATGGTACACGTAGCAGACACGCTTCCCGACGTACCACTTGGCATCCTCCGCCGTATTGACGTTCTCAACACGAATCAGAGCGGTGTTCTTGTTCTGACCGTGCAGTCCCCTTGTGTAGCCGGACAGGGTGCCCTTCATGTACAGCCGTGGAGAAGCACGACTGCGGCGAACAGTCGAAGTTTTCTTCGCCAGCTGCGAAAGCTTCTTCGCCCTGTCCACGTGAACCTTCGCCGCCATCCTCCCCGCACCTACCACGGAAGCGAAGAGAAGAACCAAGGAAGTTGCACAGAGACATAAAAGAGGATGCCAGCTCAGATGGGAAGCAAAGATAAAGGCACACATCGACGACGACGACAAAAAAAAAACNGAGGCAGGAGGCACACAAGGACGCGTATAAGGCAATATTATATACTTCGCCCCCTCCGTTCCAACGGAAAGATGTCAACTGTTGGGTCTACTCTTTTATGAGGGCAAGATGGTGCGTCATCGCTTCGTACACCTTATCGTGTGTTTCCTCCGGACTTGAGCGCGAGGCTGTGTCATCGCAGCAACGTATATGAAACCAGTGGGGCAATTTTGCGCAGCACCACAAATACGTGTTTCTAACACTCTCCTTGTACGTGTTTTGCGCCGTTTCATGAATGTCGAGTGGGCCGCGGTGTGGGTCCACCTTCATCGCAGAGAGCGCGGCCTGCGGGGGGAGGTCCAGGTAGAGCACAAGGTTGGCCGGCGGAAGCCGCAGCCAGGAGACTTCCATCAAGTGCAGATGGAAAATAAACGCAATTCGTTCCTCCTCTGGGAACTTTGAAGCCTGGTGCCCGCAATTTGCCGTGTAGTACCGGTCCAGAACAATCTTCGTCCCACGGCGCACCCAGTACTGAAGCTCCGGCAAGCAGGCAAAGCGATTCATGGAGAACAACAAGCTAAACAACCTGGGATCCAAGTCTTTTATGCCTCCCTTCTTTCCGGAGAGAATCTCTCGAAGAAGGTCCCCGTACCGGTTTCGTTCAGATGGGAACTCATAATGCGATACGCGCTGCCCCTCAGACGCAAGGCGGCGGAGCAGCAGTCTCGCTTGCGTCGCCTTCCCCACTCCGTCGCCGCCCTCAAACACAATGACCTGGGTCTTGCTCTTGTCAAAGGCAAAAAACGCCTTTACGGCACGTAGCTGCGCCACAAGAAGGCCGCCGGACCTATCCACTGAAAGGGAACTAATAGTCTCCAGCAGGGGAATCGAGGCGGGGGCGATGCTGCCTTCTCCCAGCGCGAGAACGGGAATGCGGCTGCAGAACAGGGCATACACAACGCCCGCATCCTTCAGGCTCCTCTCCTCCGTGATGAGGCAGGTGAAGGTGTCGCTTCCGCCCTGCTGCTGCGTGTCCCGGCGACGCAGGGCCTGGACCAGGGAACTGCGGCACGGCACAATTTCGACAGGCTCACCCGCAAGGGCTGCTTCTGCTGCAACAGCAGCACCGAGTTCCCCGCTCCGGACATCCAGAAAGACGACGATCCTCATGTTTTTGTTTTCTTTATTATTCACCCTTACAAAAAAAAACAAGATGGTAGGAATAACAAAACACCGCAGCGAAAAGTAAAAATAAATAAATCAAATACCTGCAGTGAAAACAAGCACCTCTTTCGTGGACAGTGAGCGGGTGGGCGGGTGGGTGGGTGGGGTGAAGATGCGACAAATACGCAAACAAACGGGTATGTGTGTAGTGGTGGCGAGGTTGGCGATGGAGTTAACCCCCTCAATGGGGGGCAGGGAGAGCACACCCAGCGAGATGTGTCACCTTAATTTATACCACTGATGCCGGCAATGCGCGGCGGCGCGACGCACCAGGCGTTTGTGATCCGCCAGGGAAGATTGTGTCAGATGCAGCACCCCATCCCGCGCCTTTGCAACGGAGTTTTTATACTTCACGTCCTCCTCGTTAGTCGTTGCGTGGATCTGCACCGCAAAGACAGCCACCTCCGACAGGAGGCGTAAGGAATTGCACCGCGTCTGCAGGTCTGGCGAACGCACGGCACTCAGCAATGCCTCAAAGAGTGCAGCATCGTTTGCCATAAGCCGCCTCATAAAAAAGTCTTTGGAGCCTGTCCGAGAGCTTATACACCCCAACAGCTCGACGAGGCGAATAATATGGCCTTCTGTGGGTTCCTGTCGTGCCACACACTCGCATACTTCCAGAATAGCCCCCCCATCGAAGTCCGAGCCCAGCGGCTCCTTCAGAAGCAGTTGAAGCAGAACCCGCAATGAGGTCTCTGGCATAAGAGTCTCTCTGCTCCGTAGGCACTGAACAAGTGGAACGAGAAGCGTCACAGCCTTCTTCGGACCTGAGGAAGGAGAAAAAAAAGTGGTGGTCAAGGCCTCCTCAATGTCTACGCCACTACAAAGTGCGTCCATTAGCTTCAATGTTATACCCTCCACCGTGTCATTCGTTTCCACGCTTCTTCTTAAGAGGCCACGCGCGGTAGCCGCATACACGGCGAACTGAAGTTTTGGCTCCAGCACTGCTGACCCTGCCAAAAAATCCTCTGCCGCCTTTGGCGCATGGAGGCATACCGCCGACACTCCCTGCAGCGCCACGCCTGGCGGCTTCTCTTCGCGGACGGCGTTCAACATCTCCGCCACCCAGCGCTCTGGGGTCTCCGCAACCTGGTACACGTCCGAGTCGGAGGAGGCAAGCAGTGCAATGGTCAGGATGCAGCACCGATTTTCACCAACCATCCGCAGCACGGTTTTCAGGCGTAGCGACAAAGGAATCCTGAGAAGCAGCTCACACAAGAATTCAAAGCTTGCGGGCGAGTTTTTAGTAACCACAAGTTGCAACAAGTGCAATATGGCCTCTTCTGGGAAGTCCGTACTTGCTGCAAGAGCATGCCCGCACAAGGAAAACAACTCCGTTTCTGAAAGCCGGGCCGCAACCGAAGACGAGGAGGAGTGCAACAAAAGCTCCAATGCCAGAAGAGCGGTGGAAACAGAGGACTTCAAAAGCGCATTAAAAAGATTCACAATTCCAGTCCTGGTAAACACCTTTTCTGTGCCGATTACGCGAGGGAGAACGTCCGTTAAGGCATTCCCCTCCAGAAGACCGATGCGAGAGAGAAGACTGGCAACCTTCGTGCAAAGTTCCTCATCGCTCTGTAAACAAATCAAGAGTAGATGTTCACACGACGAGTGAAGCAGTTCCACAGGCAGCCACTGACACAGACATGCATCCAAGCACAATAGGGATGAAAGTAGTTCACACCCGACGAGCTTTAACGATGCCCCAGCCGTGCTGAGACCCCGTAAGAGGTTTTTCACGACCCGGAGTAGATCTGGCAAGTTCAATTCCAGACTTCGCTTCACCTCTGCCCGGGGCGACGGCAATCCGCGACGCAACTCTTCAGAGTTGCATAAATCCAAAATGCCCATCAAAAACGCCGAGAGGATAATCAAAGCATTTTCACTCTCACCATCAAATTCGTTGCGCAGGTTCAACAATAACAGCGGCAGAAAATGGGACAAGAGGGCAACACCACAAGAGACATCGCTGCAAGCCAAGTGATACAACATAGTGGCATACGCAGAGCAGACAGCTTGCCCAGAACCCAAACTGGACAAGGCGCCGCTAGTTACCGGGTCCATCCAGGAAGCGATGACGGATGACGAAGCCCCGTGAGATCTCTTGCCAATAGAACCCAAAAGTTGCATGCAGTCTCGTAGGTATGAGTCCCCTTCATTCCAACCCAGTGATACACTCTTGATAACTTCATTCCGCAGGTGGCTCACAACACAAAGGATATGGGGACTCAACTCATCCATACTGTGACCCGAATTCGAAGAGTAGAGTTCCAAGAGGACGGCTATAGACTCCTGCTTCACAACGGACGACGGAGACGACAGCCTCGAGAGGATGAATGAGACGCAAGAATCCAGGTAGAGGGGACGAGTCATACAGCGGGTGAGACGTCGTTTCAATTCATCTCGCGTCACTGTGCACCCTGGCGGCTGCGAAAATACGACTGGAAAGTAACTGGAGAGACTATCAAAATATTCTTCCTTCAGAGGAACTAGGCTACTGCTATCCGCAAAGGTACTTATAAAGTAGTGAAAACTCAAACATTTTTGCGACAAGTTCCGGTTCTCCTTCCGCATCCATGGCTTCTAGAAGCAGACGGAGAACAGGCGTGGTAAGCCATGGCGCAGAAGCCTCTGAGAGCATGTAGTTAATAATTTTAAATCCACTCCGCCGGACATTCGTTGGCAATGCCTGAAACCTAACATTGGCCAAGAAACCATGGGCTAACTCAGCAAAAACGTTCTCGCTACACGGCCGTTGCGTGGACAAGGCTTCAATAACCCTCGCTATGCATTCCACAGAGGTTTCAACTGTCTGTAACGAGGAAAGTTTTCCTGAGAAAAATTTCAGCACAACCACAGCCTCGTCATCCTGCAGATTTTCTCGTTTTGCCGTTGCTAGACTCAAAACAGAGAGCGCTTCAGTGATATGCTTCTCATACGTCAGATATTTACCCATCATGCGGGCCAAGTAAAGAAGAGGCACTTGCCGTAGTTTCCCAAGGGTGCCCGCATCACAGTTGAGACCCATTGACACCGCTCTTTGAAGTATCACATCCAGTTTTTCCTCTTCCATGGACGACGCCGTGCAGCTCTATACTCAGTCTTCCTGATGTCTTTCGTTTTATTGCTTTTGTTGTTGTTTCCGGCCTCTGTCTTCCCCATGAGTGTCAACAAAAAAAAATAAATAAAAAAAAACAAGAAGTGAATTGGACCCGTTTACGGATTCAAACTTCAGAGAACTTCATTTTCTAATTATTACAAACATTCAAAGCAAACAGTTTCTTTGTCAAGATGATGCAATCAGGGGGGCAAGACACAGATCCTCTGTGAACCACTTACACACGCGGCGCCCAATCCAGATACCGCGCCTGTAAAGTGTCGCAAATAAAAATATGGTAACGGAATTGTGCCAATACGAAGCGGTTGCAATGTTAATTCTGTCGATTTGATAGCATTAGGGGCTAGACAAAAGCTCCACTGCATTCTTCCAGCTATTAAAAAGCAATCGTCATTTTTCTCCACCACCAACTCACAGTTTTGAACTTGCTCTGTTTTGTTAGTCACATCAAACGAAATAAGGAATGGAGTACCAATAATAGCAATCGAAGGACACCTCAGTGTCAACGCAAAAGGTGTATCCGCCACTTTCACTTCAGGTAAAGGAAACTCAGAAACAATACGCTGCACTCCATTGCTTGGGGCTAGAGCCATTCGAATAAAACCCAAAGAGAATTTTCCTACATTCAGAACACGAAGCTTCATACTCAATGTCAAAACTTCCAAATGTTCAAGATGACAAGGAAGTTCACCCACTGTCAGCGATACAAGTGAAGCCGAATGTGTACAAACAACATCCAAATCTTCCACTATCAAACCTTGGAGGGCCTGAGTTTCCATAGAGGCCAAAAGAACAACTTCTCCCCCCTTTGTGAAAGTAAAATTATCGGAATTGCCTTCCATTTCGGTGTGCGCGGTATATACAAGAGAATCTCGGTTGCCCTGGATTGTCGATACATCGTCCCTCGTACTACAACGTGAATGACGCAACGTAAACTTTTCATGCTGTATCGAGAAGTGAGAGACATCTGGCACGCTGAGAGTAGTTTCAGATCTCACCAACACCTCCCTTTTAACAGGTGTCACCATCCACGGTAACACCTTCAGAAACGTGTACGTTGGAGAAAAAGGATACAAAATATTCAAATAGATTCTTTTTAGAATTTCCATGTCTGAGTAATTTACGGAGTTGTAATAAAACAAAATAGGAGCCGTGTACCTTCCAGCCCGGAGGCATCGGCAGTTCAATGAGACACTTAACGGATGATCACGAGCTATAGGACCAATATCATCCAATAAAACGGCGCTGTATCTCTTTCCAAGGCCTTCGCTCCTCCTCTTGTGTTTCCCCTGAAGTGCGTCGCAGGCGAATTCATACAAACCAGAGACATAATTTATTACAAGAGAACCTTTTCCGTTTAAATCCTTCTCCGACATTATCACAACATCAACATTTAACTCCTCACCTTCAATTGCTGTAATAGTGCTCGGAATCTCGATCTCGACTTGACACGCCGGTCGAACTACGTATACCCATGGCTTATGATGCAATAAGCCAGAAAAACTCCCAAACCTCTCCTTTTCTCGTAAAAACGGTTCTGCACTTGTTTTTTTTCAAGCTTCCACTCCACATTTAGGTGCATGCCAGCACAATTTACACACCCTCGAACACTCGTACATTGGTAAAGTCCCGGCTCATCAAGGGTCAATTTGAGACAAGCAGAAGAAGGGTTATTTAAATTGAACTTTAGAGCTTTATCGAAGGCTAAATATGTACTGGCACTCTCTGTCCCATCACCAGACAACCTCGAAACGGTAACAGAAAGCGCATCCAAAATAATGCCTTCAACAGAAGCGGTAAAAAGTGTAATATATAGTTCCGTTGGAGTTGCACACACATGATGATCACACTGAAAATTGCACAATACTGTGAAGGGTGCAAAATGCCCTCTTCTAGGATAGGATAGATTAACCTGCTTCAATTCATTCTGCCTCACCAAATCCAGAAATTTTTGCATATAATGCCTTTGTACCCCGTCCACGGCAGGTCCAAAACAGAGTGACACCAAAGAAAAGAGAATATATTCTCGATTCTGTTCGATGAGTTTGCCGCTAGTGGAGTTCATGACAGAGATCCAAAGTTTGTGAGCAAACTCCGCTTCCCTGTAAGTTCCTATACGTCGTTGCCGAAAATTTTCCATACAAAAAAATACCTGTTCCCATGCTTGAAGGTTGATATAAGCTCCGAAAGAAATATACAGCGCGTCCAGACATAAACTACTCTCTGATTCAAGTTCGCTCAGTAGATTCTTCACACGTAACTGCAAAGCTTTGATGCAAGTTTCACTACAGAAAATAAACTTGTGGGTGCCAAGGTAACATTCTGTACCAACAAATACAGGAGCAACCGTTGGCTCTTGTAGGGAATTACGTGACTGGCTTATTTCAGTAGCCTCCTCAAACGCACCTGTTGCTGCAACAAGATAATCTCTTCGAGTCTCGGCAGACAAATAAAGGCAATTTCGCACCAACCATTCATAGCATTCCCCCACAATTAATAGCCGAACAAATCTAGCCATATGCTTAACTTCAGAGGAACCGCAACGAAGAGCCTTCCCAATCCACATAATATGGTCCTCGACAAGTCGACAGTAGATATCATCTGATGAAATAGTCGATTCTAAAGAACCACTGTATAATACCCGAAGAAGAAGAAGGGTGCCACAGGCACGTAACTCCATCGCTGGCCAAGGTGGAGCTAGCTTTCTTAGTATTCTATACGAACTTTCAAAATATTTTTGGGCCGATTTTGTATCATTCAAAACAAGGGAATGCCATCCTATTTTAAAATCACGTCGCACCAAAGAATAACTCGGCTCAAGTTTGAAATTCTTTAAACGTAAAACCTCATCCGTATGATACTTTCTAGCTAATTCCAACGCCATTTCAAAAAGTTTTTCGGCACTCTCCTTCTCCATTCCCAATTCGAACAGGGGCAAAACGCTCTTAAAGTCATGACCAAGAAACATTTTCATATTGTACTGAAGCTTTTCCAATTGCGCTGTGGCGTTTGCACTGTTTCGAATTTCATTTTCGGTAGTCAGTGCAATAATGACTTTGCTACGGAAAGAGCGTGTATATTCTTTTAACTGACTAGAAACACCAGACAACCAAACCTCATCTATCGCCGTCTCTCCCAACTGGTCCCAGTCCAAGCAAACAAGAAGACAACTACACCTTAACTTACAGTGCTTTGAACACCAAGCGCTCTTCAGTACACCTGAAGCTTCTAAGGGCAAACTGCTCTCCACACCCTTGGCGAAAAGAGACTGCAGATCTGAATAGTAATTTACCCTAAAACGCGTGTGTGAGTCAAAGAAACGGAATAACCCCTCAGCAATCCGAAGCCTTTTGCGACTGAGTACCGCAAGCGAAAAACACGGACTAGCATCCAGGTACTCCCGATAGGAATCATCATTGTAAAATTGAGAAAGAAACTCCATGACTTTATCTTGAATACGCCATGAGGAAAACCAAAGAGAAAAGCATAAAAGAAAAAGAAATATTAGGAGGAGCTCCCCAGCGTCAGGAATAAATTAGGGGAAAACGGCATGGATGCCCCCCACCCCA